TCTTTGGATGGTTTGCCTTTGTTAGTCTCACTCCCAGCTGTTAGCCTCCACTAATTACTAGCTGATTGCCGCAGTGTTTTTGAAATTGTCCTGTAGTATAAATTGCTCCACAGTCTGATCCATGGTCATTTTTAATTTATAATTTTCACCAGTCATGATTATTTTACTGGGTAAAATGTCTATTGAGTTCCTCATGTCTTCATTCTGGAAGTGCTCTGATATTAATTTTTAAAGCCAATAGGATATCGTTAAAATGGATATAAGGCACAAAGGGTTATGCATACAGGATGATCAGGGCACAGAAATTATGTCATTTTTGGTAACAAAATACTGGAAACTCTTGAGCCATCTTTTAGTTTAAAAAAACAGGATTGAGTAAAAGAGTATAAAAGGAAGCTTGCATAACATTAATCATATCTTCAGGAAATTTGGTTTCCTTTCTATAAATTCAGCTCTTTTACCAAGAAAATAACTAATCGGAATAGGTAGACCTGTGTGTTCAGTCTTAATTAGCTTCACTAGTATACCATGCAGCCAGGATCAAATATAAAAATGTATTCGCTCTGTTCTTTATATCATCTTTGAAATTTTGCCACTGGCTCTTTGATGACTGTTTCTCAACTGAGAATCCAATGATATAAAATGGGAAGCCAATGGTAGACACTGTGAACAAGCCTCACAGCCCATTTTCTTTCTGCTGTACTTAAAATGGTGTTTACTTAAACCCACAACTTCATGTAATCCTGTCACCCTTAACCCAGCATTCTTCAGCGGTTACACAGAGCATGTGATAATGTCATGAAAAGGAGAGAAAAGTATTTAATAGAAGTCTTAATCATTTGAAGGGATTTTGTGATCTTGTGGAGATAAGCATTGGGCACTGGGCTGAATTATACTTGCCTTTGCTCACTGTGCTACCTTTAATAGAAGAAAATTAATTAACTAATGCTTATTAATCTCATAGAATTAAGAGATTTTAAATATTTTGGCCAAGAGTCTCTTATTTTATAATCATCAGAGTGCTTGTACTAATGTGGAGCAAAGAAATAATCTAGTTGGAGAATGGTAAATGAAAGAATAAGCAATAGACATGGGTCCTGTGTGAACCTTTTTATTTATTTTATTTATTTATTTATTATTTTCGTTTGTTTGTTTTTATCTAAGTTTGGAAAACTTATTTATTTATTTTATTTTAAATGCAGAGTCTCACTCTGTCACCCAGGCTGGAGTGCAATGGCATGATCTTGGCTTACTGCAACCTCCGCCTCCCAGGTTCGAGCGATTCTTCTGCCTCAGCCTCCCGAGTAGCTGGAACTGCAGGGGCACGCCACCATGCATGGCAGATTTTTTGTATTTTTAGTAGAGACAGAGTTTCACCATATTGATCAGGCTGGTCTCGAACTACTGACCTCAGATGATCTACCCGCCTCAGCCTCCCAAAGTGCTGGGATTACAGGCGTGAGCCACCGTGCTGGCCCTTTTTTTTTTTTTAATTTTTTTTTTGAGATGGAATTTCGCTCTTGTTGCCCAGGCTGGAGTGCAATGGTATGATCTCGGCTGACTGCAACCTCTGCCTCCTGGCTTTAAGTGATTCTTCAGCCTCAGCCTCCCTAATAGCTGGGATTATAGTCACGTGCCACCATGCCCGGCTAATTTTCTATTTTTTTGGTAGAGACGGAGTTTCTCCATGTTGGTCAGGCTAGTGTTAAACTCTCAACCTCAGGTGATCTGCCCTCCTCAGCCTCCCAAAGAAGCGCTGGGATTACAGGCATAAGCCACTGCGCCCGTCTTTTTATTTTACTTATTTATTTTTCCTTTTCTTCTTTTTTCTATTTTTTTTTTTAAGACAGAGTCTAACTCTGTTGCTCAGGCTGGAGTGCAGTGGCATGATCTCAGCTCACTGCAACCTCTGACTCCTGGGTTCAAGCAATTCTCCTGCCTCAGCCTCCCAAGTAGCTGGGATTACAGGTGCCCACCACCATGCCCAGCTAATTTTGGTATTTTTTTGTAGAGACAAGGTTTCACCTTGATTTCTGAAATCCTTGATTAAAAAAATAAATAAATAAATCAAAAGAGACAGGGTTTCACCGTGTTGGCCAGGCTGCTCTTGAATAGCTGACCTCAAGCGCTCCATCCGCCTTGGCCTCCCAAAGTTCTGGGATTACATGCATGAGCCACCATGCCTGGCCAATGACCATTTCTTAATGCAGTCATATATTGCTTAATGACAGCAATATGTTCTGAGAAACTTGTTGCTAGGTGATTTCATCACTGTGTGAACATAATAGAGTAAATAGAATATACTTATAGAAACCTAGATGGTACAGCCCCCGATACACCTATATAGCCTATTGCTTTTAGGTTACATGCTGTACAGTATGCTCCTATACTAAATACTGTAAGCAACTATAACACAACGGCAAGTATTTTTGTATATCTAAACATACCTAAACATTAAAAAGGTAACTCATTGCACTATAATGTTAGGATGTCTGTGGCATCACTAGGCAATAGGAACTTTTAGCTATGAGACCACTGTCCTGTATGCAGTCCATCATTGACCAAAACATCATCATAAAGCATATGCCTATATCATATTAATTGTTTTACTCAAACTTCGGGACAGAAGCTGTGACCAAAAATGACCAAAACTTATTGAAAGTTTGGACAGCTGAGGTTCATGAGAGAATTTAGTTTTTTTTTTCTGTGAATTAACCTCTTTTTTTCTTTTTCTTTTTTTCCCCCGCTGCTCCCTCCCCTGTTAATTAATCTTAATGAATCAGCATACGAACACATGTCCTCCATGTTCCCATGACTTCCTTGCCTCTTTTTTTCCCTTCTTAACCCATCTCTCCTTCACCAGTCCATTGATATTGCCAACTTTATCTGTAAGCCATCTCTGAGTACCCCCCTTCACTCCTTTTTTACATTATACGGAGTACTTTTTTACATTATAGTTACCCAATCTCATTCACACGGCAGATGATGACATATAGCAATTTGAGCCTTAATCTGTTTTGCCTTTGAAATACAATTGCTTTACTTCAAATTATTTATGTATTTTCGAGATGGAGTCTCGTTCTCGTCACCCAGGTTGGAGTGCAGCAGCACGCTCTTGACTCCCTGCAACCTCTGCCTCCCAGGTTCAAGTGATTCTCCTGCCTCAGCCTCCTGAGAAACTGAGACTACAGTCACAGCATCCCCATGCTTGGCTAAGTTTTGCATTTTTAGCACAGACAGGGTTTCATCATGTTGGCCAGGCTGCTATCGAACTTCTCACCTCAGGATCCACCTGCCTCGGCTTCCCAAAGTGCTGGGATTACAGCCATGAGCCACCATGCCTGGCCCTTTACTTTGAATTTGAAGTAATATAACAAATTAATGTCATATGTTCCCTGACAATCACAGAAAGGGAACCTCATTTATTGATGCCAGTGACACATATCCCTGTCTTATATACAGAGGACCCACTGGTTATCCTGAAATATCCACCCTAACTCAATCCCCTCCACCCTTGCCTGATTTTGCTTTCCTTCTCTAGAGACTAATGACAAACTAACCTTTGCACCCAGGCTGTTAGGTGTCCATTATCTTCACTCTTCTCTTCCTCTGCACTCCTGCTCTGTGATCGGTTTATACATCACTTACAGTATATATTGCACAGTATCATAGTACTTTCTTCTCTTTCCTTTCCTTTCCTTTTTTTTTTTTTTTTTCTGAGACGGAATTTCGCTGCTGTTATCCAGACTGGAGTGCAATGGCACAATCTCGGCTCACCGCAACCTCCGCCTCGTGGGTTCAAGCAATTCTCCTGCCTCAGCCTCCCGAGTAGCTGGGATTACAGGCACGTGCCGCCATGCCCAGATAATTTTTTTTTGTATTTTTAGTAGAGACGGGGTTTCACTTCATTGACCAGGATGGTCTCGATCTCTTGACCTCGTGATCCACCCACCTCAGCCTCCCAAAGTGCTGGGATTATAGGCGTGAGCCACCGCGCCCGGCCTCCTTTTTTTTTTTTTGAGATGGATTTTCACTCCTGTTGCCCAGGCTGGAGTGTAATGGCACAATCTCGGCTTACCACAACCTCCACCTCCCGAGTTCAAGCAAATCTCCTGTCTCAGCCTCCCACGTAGCTGGGATTACAGGTGCCCACCACCATGCCTGGCTAATTTTTGTATTTTTAGTACAGATGGGGCTCACCATTTGGCCAGGCTGGTCCCAAACTCCTGACCTCAGGTGATTTGCCCGCCTTGGCCTCCCACAGTGCTGGGATTACAGGCCTAAGCCACTGCGCCCAGCCTGTACTTTATTTTCTTGTGGGCACATCTACAAAGCTGAAACTGTAATTTGTTCATCTATGTGCCCCCTGTACCTAGCACATAGTAGGTGTTCAATAATATCTGTTGATACTGAACAATAGCATTTGCTACATTTTCGTTACCTTTAAGACGAGGGTAAAAACATTATTTACTTGAAAAGGATTTCCTGAGGTTGGATTAATTGTTTAATTCTTAAAATGTAAAGTAGGACAAGGTTAATACAGAAAATAAAAGTGTAAGAAGAGTTTTGTTTTAACGAACCACACAGATGGGGGTTCCATTAACCAAAGGAGTCAACAGTTAAAAAAAGAATTATAGGCTGGGCACAATGGCTCACATCTGTAATCCCAGCACTTAGGGAGGTCGAGGAGGGTGGATTACCTGAGGTTAGGAGTTTGAGACCAGCCTGACCAACATGGAGAAACCCTGTCTCTACTAAAAACACAAAAAAATTAGCCAGAAGTGGTGGTGCATGCCTGTAATCCCAGCTACTCGGGAGGCTGAGGCAGGAGAATCACTTGAACCTGGGAGGCAGAAGTTACAATGAGCCGAGATCGCACCATTGCACTCCAGCCTGGGCAACAAAAGAGAAACTCTGTCTAAAAAAAAAAAAAAGAATTATAAAACATTTAATGAAAGCCACTGAATACTTAAAGAGGTCTGAGAAACCTCAAGATAATTGACTCTTTTTTTGACCTCTGAACTTTTATTGGCCGCCTGCTCCCAAAGGGTCCCCCTGCTTCTGCTGGCTTAATGTCTCAGAACTTTGGTGTCGTTGGTCTCAGACACCACTTTGCCATCCACTGTCTGGTGGATGGTGGTCTTTTGGATGGTTTGCATGGAGTTGCTGCTGTCCAGGGCATCACAAAGATTGAAGTCCTCACCATCTTCCAGCAGGCGGCAGTAGGTGGCAATCTCAGCCTCCAGCTTGACCTTGATGTTCAGCAGGGCCTGGTACTCCTGGGCCTGGTGCTGTCCCTCTGCCCAGGTCTGTACCAGCTCTGACTCCAGGTGCAGCAGGATCCCGTTGAGCTGCTCCATCTGCAGGGCATAGCGGGCCTCCACCTCCCTCAGGCTGTTCTCCAAGCTGATCTTCGTATTTCTTATGGAGTCCAGGTCGATCTTCAAGGACTGGACCGTATGTCTCAGCTCTGTGAGAGTCATTTCAGCAGCTCCAACCTTGGCGGACTGCGTGGGAACCACTGCGGTGCTCTCCTCAATCTGCTGAGACCAGCACTTGTCCCGCTCCTCTCGGTTCTTCTGAGCTAGCTCGTCCTATGGGGCCCAGATGTCTCCCATGATCTTGGCGAGGTCCTGAGAGTTGGGGGCATCTACCTCCATGGTCAACCCAGAGCTGGCAATCTGGGCTTGTAGGCCTTTTACCTCCTCTTCATGGTTCTTCTTCATGAAGAGCAGCTCCTCCTTGACAGCCTCAATCTCTGTCTCTAGCTGCAGCCGAGTGACATTGGTGTCATCAATGACCTTGTGGAGCCCATGAATGTCACTCACCACAGACTGAGGCATGGCCAACTCTGTCTCATACTTGACTCTAAAGTCATAAGCAGCAAGACGGGCATTGTCAATCTGCAGAACGATGCGGGCATTGTCCAAGTATTTGCGAAGATCCGAGCCCTCAGGTCCTCGATGGTCTTGAAGTAATGGCTCCAGTCTCTGACTTAGGGTCCCTTCTTCTCCAGCTGCTCCTGGATTTTGCTCTCCAGCTTCCAGTTCTTGGTTTCCAGGTCCCTCACTCTGTCCAGGTGGGAGGCTAGGCGGTCGTTCAGACTTTGCATAGTCTCCTTCTCATTCAGGATCCCTCCCATTCCTGCCATCCCCACAGCCAGGCCCCTGGCCCCCATGTCACCCCAGAAACTGGTGGAGCGGGACACAGATATGTGGGGACCAGAGCCTCCGGCCCTTGCATAGACACTGGCCACACTGCTGACCAGCTGGGCACCGTAGCTGGGCACCTGGATGGAGCCCAGGAACCAGTAGTTTGTGGAGAAGGTGGATCGAGTGGTGAAGCTCACTCTGCCCCGGGCAGGAGAGAGAAAGGACGGGACTCAGGCTTTGCCTACCAAGATAATTGACTCTTACACGGTCAACTGGTGTCAAGCACCACGGCTTCCCCATTTTTTCAAGAAAGTTACAATCCAGATGTGATGTCAGGTCACATACCAGTAAAGAGAAAAAATGCAAAATCGTGCCAGCTATGTGCCAGCAAATTATAAACTGCAGCAGCACATAAGTCTACCTCGTCTCCTTTGAGAACTCCTCATTTTCTTTGAGAACCCACTTGTGTCTGGCTAGACCGAAAGGCCCAAAGTAAACTAATAAAATGACAAGTTGAAAGAGTTTGCACCAAGTACACTGTCACTAACAACAATCAACCATAATGTGTAAGGTACTCTCCAATTTAAAAAGGCAAACCTGTTTTTGAGGACAGCACATTCAATTGAAAATCTAAAACTAGTCCAGGTTTGGTGGCTCACACCTGTAATCCCAGCACTTTGGGAGGCTGAGGCAGAAGGAACTTAAGCGTTTGAGACCAGCCTGGCCAATATGGTGAGACCTCATCTCTACAAAAAAGTGTAAAAAACAAAAACAAACAAACAAAAAATTACCAGCCTCGGCAACATGGTGAAACTCTGTCTCTACAAAAATAGAAACATTACCCAGGGGTGGTGGCTTGCACTTGTAGTCCCAGCTACCTGAGAGACTGAGGCATGGGAATCACTTGACCTTGTGGGGCAGAGGTTGCAGTGAGCCAAGATGGCTTCACTGTACTCCAGCTTGGGTTACAGAGTAAGACCCTGTCTCAAAAAAAAAAAAAAAAAGGCTGGGTGCAGTGGCTCGCGCCTGGAATCCCAGCACTTTGGGAGGCCAAGGTGAGAGGATCACCTGAGGTCGGAAGTTTGAGACCAGCCTGACCAACATGGTGAAAACCTGTCTCTACTAAAAATACAAAATTAGCCGGGCCCGGTGGCACATGCCTGTAATCCCAGCTACTCGGGAGGCTGAGGCAGGAGAATTACTTGAACCCGGGAGGTGGAGGTTGCAGTGAGCCGAGATTGCACCATTGCACTCCAGCCTGGGCAACAAGAGCAAAACTTCATCTCAAAAACAAACAAAACAACAAAAAGAAAAATATTAGACAAGCGTGGTGTGACACGCCTGTACTCCCAGTCCCTCTCTGTAGCCCCCAACAGGAGGCTGAGGTGAGAGGATCCCTTGAGTCCGGGAGGCAGAGGTTGCAGTGAGCTGAGATCCAGTCACTGCACTTCATCCTGGGTGAGAGAATGAGACCCTGTCTCCAAAAAAATATATATATATACATATATATAAACCTATTTTAATAGTATCCATCCATTTCAAGATGAAACTCGGGTAAAACAAAAAGAAAAAAGAAAAAAAATAATAATATCCCTGCTACACCCACTCATCCACCTCCACGATGGCCTCCTTCAATTCTTGAGTTCTCTCCCACCACCTCTGGAGTAAACGCCTCCCCCCAGCGAACTTGCTAACTCCTTCCCCCACACGGAACACTAGCTCATTTTCTCCACCACTTCCGCCTATTTCCTAACGGACTCAAGTGCTTTCATATTGAATTTCTGCTGACCTCGAATTAAACTAAACCATATACTATTTTGGGTCACAGATAAATTAGGGGGAAAGTAGAGCTCACAGTCTATGATAATTTTCTGGCTGCCTAATCGCATATACAAAGTCAATGGGAATGGCACTGTAGAGAGAAAGCTGCTTTCGTTCCCCTGCACCCTGTGCTTTTCACCACGTGACTCAAGCAGGAGATATTTTACGGAATTGGTGTGCCTTCCTATTCTGGATAAGAAGAACAAATTAGGCTCTTTTCCGGGTAGCGCGGCAGGAGAAGCCATGAGCAGCAAAGTCTCTCGCGACACCCTGTACGAGGCAGTGCGGGAAGTCCTGCTCCCGAACCAGTGCAGGCGCCGCAAGTTCCTGGAGACCGTGGAGTTGCAGATCAGTTTAAAGAACTATGACCAGGCCGGGCGCGGTGGCTCACGCCTATAATCCCAGCACTTTGGGAGGCCGAGGCGGGTGGATCACGAGGTCAAGAGATAGAGACCATCCTGGTCAACGAGGTGAAACCCCGTCTCTACTAAAAATACAAAAATTAGCTGGGCACAGTGGTGCGTGCCTGTAATCCCAGCTACTCAGGAGGCTGAGGCAGGAGAATTGCCTGAACCCAGGAGGTGGAGGTTGCGGTGAGCCGAGATCGCGCCATTGCACACCAGCCTGGGTAACAAGAGCGAAACTCCGTCTCAAAAAAAAAAAAAAAGAACTATGACCCCCAGAAGGACAAGCGTTTCTCGGGCACCGTCAGGCTTAAGTCCACTCCTCACCCCAAGTTGTCCGTGTGTGTCCTGGGGGACCAGCAGCATTGTGACGAGGCCAAGGCTGTGGATATTCCCCACATGGACATTGAGGCGCTGAAAAAACTCAACAAGAAAAAACTGGTCAAGAAGCTGGCCAAGAAGTATGATGCATTTTTGGCCTCAGAGTCTCTGATCAAGCAGATTCCACGAATCCTTGGCCCAAGCCTGAATAAGGCAGGAAAGTTCCCCTCCCTGCTCACACTCAATGAAAACATGGTGGCCAAAGTGGATGAGGTGAAGTCCACGATCAAGTTCCAAATGAAGAAGGGGTTATGTCTGGCTGTGGCTGTTGGTCGTGAAGATGACAGACGATGAGCTTGTGTATAACATTCACCTGGCTGTCAATTTCTTGGTGTCATTCCTCAAGAAAAACTGGCAGAATGTCCGGGCCTTATATATCAAGAGCACCATGGGCAAGCCCCAGCGCCTATATTAAAGCACATTTGAATAAATTTTATTACCAGTCAAAAAAATTTTACAAATTAGGAAGCGCTTTATGATTAAATCATCCCAGGGCTCCATACGCTCAGCCTTTTTTTTTTTTTTTCGAGACGGATTTTTGTTCTTGTTGCCCAGGCTGGAGTACAATGGTACGATCTTGGCTCTCTGCAACCTCAGCTTCCCAGGTTCAAGCGATTCTCCTGCCTCAATCTCTCGAGTAGCTAGGATTACAGGTGCCTGCCACCATGCACGCTAATTTTTGTATTTTTAGTAGAGATGGGGTTTCTCCATGTTGGCCAGGCTGGTCCTGAACTCCTGACCTCAGGTGATCTGCCCACCTCGGCTTCCGAAGGTGCTAGGATTACAGGCGTGAGCCACCGCCCCTGGCCACACTGAGCCTTTTAAAGCAAAGTTCCCATTGTCATTAGGAGGCAGGAATCTTAACTTTTAAGTTCTTTTTGGCATATAGAAAATTATAGGAACTCAACAAATATTAAATTATCCTATGGTTTATGTACACTTGAGTATCAAAATGAATCTTATTGTAACAGGAGGGAACCCAGCAACAACAAGGAAGCAGAGCAAGTCTTTATTTTCTGTGTCCCTTGTTAATTTAAAGCTGTGACCTGGAAAGTTAGTTCAGCCTGCCCAGTAGTCCATGTCCTCAAGTCAAACACAACTCTTAGGTAAGTGACTCTCGTTTTATGTAACTCGAAATCTGTCAACCAGAATCGTGGGATGGTAGAAATGACTAGCTGGAAGTTACTCTGTGTTGTTTATGTCAGTCCTCTCATACTTCAGGATGTATATAAATAAGGTGGGGTTTTTTTTTTTTTGAGATGGAGGCTCACTCTGTCACTCAGGCTGGAGTACAGTGGCACAAGCTTGGCTCACTGCAACCTCTGCCGCCCTGGTTCAAGAGATTCTCCTGCCTTAGCCTCCCAAGTATCTGGGATTACAGGCATACACCACCATGCCCGTTTGTATTTTTAGTAAAAACATGTTTCACCATGTTGGCCAGGTTGGTCCCGAACTCCTGACCTCAGGTGATCCTCCCGCCCTGGCCTCCCAAAGTGCTGGGATTACAGGTGTGAGCCATCATGCTCGGCCTAGGTGGGGATTTGGTAAAGTTCCGGTTCTGATTTAGGTCTAGAGTTGGGCCCCAGATTCTGCATTTCAAACCAATTTTCACATGATGATGTTGTTCATGTATCCATTACAGTTTGAGGAGCCAAAAATCTAGGCTAACGCCCTCACTTTATAAATGAAGTCCAAATAAGTGAAATGATTTAGTGATTTTACATCTGTTTCTATTGTTTTTTCATTCATTATCATAATTTAAAAATAGCGTAAATTTGAAACAGCAACTGATTGCTGGGAATTGAGAAAAAAAATTGTAAGTTCACAAAATTTTTAGTTTTGTTATTTATTTTTTTATTTTCCATAAGCTAAAAACATACGAATAGCATGTGCGGGATTCGTTGTTACAAGGGTGTCACCTTAACCCACAATAATTTGTCCTTATCATAATCAGTTAATAGGTTCACTGTATTTCCATAGATGCATGACAGTGTACTGAGTATCATATCATGATATACTCATCCTTTCTCATTCTGCTACCTTTTGTTTAATCTTAATTTTATAGTTTAACCCAAACAGTTCCAGAGACTCTATTTATGTTCAGCGAAGAGGCTAGATTATTCCATTATTACAGTAGGAGGCTAGATTATTCCATTTCTTTCCTCCATCTCATAACTAACTAGGAAGCAAGCTTGAGATAAAAAGAAACATCCAGCCAGACGTGGGTGCGCACCTGTGGTCTGAGCTACTGGGGAGGCTGAAGTGGAAGATCGCTAGAGGATTGGAGGTTGAAGCTGCAGGGAGCAATGATAGTACCACTGCATTCCAGCCTGGGCGACACAGCAAGACCCTGTCTCTAAAGAAAAGAGAGAGAGAGAGAGAGAGAGAGAGAGAGAGAGAGAGAAACATAGGATGTCTTTATTTTCTGACCCAGTAATTTAAAATTACAGCTCAGAGTTCCCTTAAGAGTTAGTTTAATTTGCTGAGTTCTTTGGAGAATTCTACCGATTTTTTCTTTTGAGACAGTTTCTCTCAGTCACCCATGCTGAAGTGTAGTGGCATGATCTCGGCTCACTGCAACCTCCACCACCCAGGTTCAAGCAATTCTCTTGTCTCAGCCTCCTGAGTAGCTTGGATTACAGATGCATGCCACCATGCCCAGCTAATTTTTGTTTTTGTTTTTTTTTTTGAGACGGAGTTTCGCTGTTGTTACTCAGGCTGGAGTGCAATGGTGCGATCTCGGCTCAGGGCAACCTCCGCC